CATACCTAAACAGAATGGCGAGGCATTCAATAGTTTCATTTGTATGGGACAGAAACCCTAATGTCTGATACTTCTAAGAGAATTCCGCACAAAGTGGTCAGAGGGGCCTACAAAGTTCTCTGCAATGTTTTGGACTGTCCACTGGTCCATTGATTACAAATGAGTGTGTTGTAAAGAGGAATATCGAAGGGTTGTATGTTGTTCCCGGGATTTGGGACCGTTTAGATGCCGAATTCCGCAGCTATAAAAAGGAATCAGAGGAGTCCACTTGGACGTTTCAAAAAAGAGTTAAACTTCACATATGAATGTATAACAAACTTCCCTGTAATATAATGGGCAGCCCACTGGTCCATCGATCTCTAATGGGTGTGTTCTATAAGGAATAGCGAGGAAAGACAGAGGAGGGTTGTATGTTCTTCCCGGAATTTGGGATCAAACTAAATTTTAGGTTACATGATGAATGTAGTCCATTTCATTCTTAAATATCAGCACCAAATTGACCAAATTGCTATAAGAAAATATCGAATATAGATATTCAAAACTAATACTGTAGGATGGCGAGGCATTCAATAGTTGTACTTGTATGGGTTCGGGTATTTGGGGATTTTGTAGGTAACTTTGTTGCTGACTAAAACACACTCACTAATGTCTGATAGTTTTGACGAATTCCGCAGCAATAACAAAGGAATCAGAGCGCCCTACTTGATAGAGTTAAACTCCCAATACGAGTGTGAAACAAACTTCTCTGTTAGACGTTGGACGGTCCACTGCCCCATCGCTAACAAATGGGTGTGTTCTGAAAGATGTGTGTTGAGTAAAAATATACTTACGAATATCGGAAACAACAAGGAGTAAAATTGTCTGCCTTATCAAACAGTTCTTCTTTCATTCAAAATTCATAAAAGTATAAAGATAATGTTTACTTCTTGAAAAAAGTTTTTTTAACTAAAAGATTTAATGAAAATCTGAATAAATTTAAATAAAAAACACAAAATATTTCGATGTTTTCATAAATTCAACTCCTTAGGAGTAAAATTGATTTATTTTTAACAGTCATATAAAAATTCCATTAACAAATTCTTTACTTTTCCCATTCCTTTAACTGAAAATCCAAATCCTTTAATCCTTTATCCTATAATCTACTTGCGCAAGACATAAGAAGCAGCATAGGGGTAAGCAGAGTAAGCAGCAGCATAAGGAGAAGCTACATAAGGATAGGCAGAGTAAGCAGAGTAGGCAGCAGCATAGGGAGCAGTGTAGGCGGCGGCATAGGGAGCAGTGTAGGCAGCGGTGTAGGGAGCAGCAGCTACAACGGGAGCAGAGTAGGCCAAGGGAGCAACAATACCGGGTTTAGCGGCAGCCAAGGCAACAACGGCGAACAAGCACAAAGCGAACTATGGACATAAAAAAGCATTTTATTAGTTTTTCTATTAAAATTCAAATTTGAAAGAAATTTTTAGAACTTTTTTTATTTTTTTTTTTTTAACTTACGAATTTGAACATTTTGATTTGTTGTTTTGGTTTGTTTGTGATTTAACAGAACTTATTGAACTGATATTATTTTCTTGATATTAAAACCTTTTTATACTAAGTGTCTGACTGTCTTATCATGCGGATGCCTTGAGTATAATTTGCATTTTTGTGTACAACGGCCAAGCACGTCTTAACGGCTTAAGGTCGCTGTGTTGTGGTGTTTATTAAAATTGGTTTTAAACATTAATTTGGAATATTTTGGAATAAAAAAAAACATAAATGTCAACTACAACATTTCCTATTTGCATATTTGCTTCAAAAAAAGAATATTGGTTTTTAAAATTGAATTGTATTTTAATTGAGTCTTTGAGCTTTAGCAACCAATATGTTTAAAACATCAAGTGTAGCTCTAGTAATTGTTATAATTCTTTATTTTATTATTTAAAAAAATATATGTATAAACAATAATATTTTTTACATACGTGAGCAGTTTAAGAAATATTCAATTTATTGCAATTAAATCAGTTTTAAATCTAGTATAAATACTACAACCCAAATTTTCAAAATTAACAGTTCTATTTGTTCTAACAACAAAACAACTTTACAAAAACCTTACCAAAATGTTCAAATTCGTAAGTTTTAAAGAAAATTTTTGAAAAAAATTCTAAAATAAATGTTTAATTGTTGTAAATTTCCTTTAATTAGTTCGCTTTGTGCTTGTTCGCCATTGTTGCCTTGGCTGCCGCTAAACCCGGTGTTGTTGCTCCCTTGGCTTACTCTGCTCCCGTAGTAGCTGCTGCTCCCTACACTGCTGCCTACACCGCCCCCTATGCTGCCGCCTACTCTGCCTTCCCCTATGCTGCTTCTCCTTATGTAGCTGCTCCCTATGCTGCTGCTTACTCCGCTTACCCTTATGCCGCTTCTTATGTCTTGCGTAAATAGAGTGGAAGTTGACAGAGATTTGGATTGTTATAGTTTAAAACTTGTTGAATTTGATGACGAAATAATGCAGTTACAATAAAATTTTGAACAAATTTAAGTTTTCTCTTCATTTTTAAAAAAGTTAAGCAATTAAAAAGCTTCGAAGGAATGGAGTTGAAGTAATGCTTTTATCAGATTCTTGCGAGTCTTTCTAAAGAAAAGTTCATCAGATTCTGATTAAATTTTATAGAGAAAAGTACATCAGACACAGATGAAGTTTTCTACAGAAAGGTTCATCAGACTCTGATGAGTTTTTCTAAAGAAAAGTTCATCAAAATCTGATGAGTTTTTTTGAAGAAAAGCTTATCAGGAAAAGTTTATTAGAAATTGATGTATTTTTCTAAAGGAAATTTCATAAGACTCTGATAAACTGAAAGAAAAGACTATCAGACTCTGACATTCTCAAAAGAAAAGTTCATCAGATTCCGATGACATTAGACTAGACTATAGACTAGACTATAGACTAGACTATAGACTAGACTATAGACTAGACTATAGACTAGACTATAGACTAGACTATAGACTAGACTATAGACTAGACTATAGACTAGACTATAGACTAGACTATAGACTAGACTATAGACTAGACTATAGACTAGACTATAGACTAGACTATAGACTAGACTATAGACTAGACTATAGACTAGACTATAGACTAGACTATAGACTAGACTATAGACTAGACTATAGACTAGACTATAGACTAGACTATAGACTAGACTATAGACTAGACTATAGACTAGACTATAGACTAGACTATAGACTAGACTATAGACTAGACTATAGACTAGACTATAGACTAGACTATAGACTAGACTATAGACTAGACTATAGACTATAGACTAGACTAGACTAGACTAGACTAGACTAGACTATAGACTAGACTATAGACTAGACTGTAGACTAGACTATAGACTAGACTAGACTATAGACTAGACTAGACTAAAGACTATAGACTAGACTAGACTAACCTATAGAGTAGACGAGACTAGACTAGACTATAATATAGACTAGACTATAGACTAGACTAGACTATAGACTAGACTAGACTAGACTATAGACTAGACTATAGACTAGACTATAGACTAGACTATAGACTAGACTATAGACTAGACTATAGACTAGACTATAGACTAGACTATAGACTAGACTATAGACTAGACTATAGACTAGACTATAGACTAGACTATAGACTAGACTATAGACTAGACTAGACTATAGACTAGACTATAGACTAGACTATAGACTAGACTATAGACTTGACTATAGACTAGACTATAGACTAGACTATAGACTAGACTATAGAATAGGCTATAGAATAGACTATAGACTAGACTATAGACTAGACTATAGACTAGACTAGACTAGACTATAGACTAGACTATAGACTAGACTATAGACTAGACTATAGACTAGACTATAGACTAGACTAGACTAGACTAGACTAGACTAGACTATAGACTAGACTATAGACTAGACTAGACTAGACTATAAACTAGACTATAGACAAGACTATAGACTAGACTATAGACTAGACTATAGACTAGACTATAAACTAGACTATAGACTAGACTATAGACTAGACTATAGACTAGACTATAGACTAGACTATAGACTAGACTATAGACTAGACTATAGACTAGACTATAGACTAGACTATAGACTAGACAATAGACTAGACTATAGACTAGACTATAGACTAGACTATAGACTAGACTATAGACTAGACTATAGACTAGACTATAGACTAGACTATAGACTAGACTATAGACTAGACTATAGACTAGACTATAGACTAGACTATAGACTAGGCTATAGACTAGGACTGTAGACTAGACTATAGACTAGACTATAGACTAGACTGTAGACTAGACTATAGACTAGACTATAGACTAGACTATAGACTAGACTATAGACTAGAATATAGACTAGACTATAGACTAGACTATAGACTAAAATATAGACTATACTATAGACTAGACTATAGACTAGACTGTAGACTAGACTATAGACTAGACTATAGACTAGACTATAAACTAGACTATAGACAAGACTATAGACTAGACTATAGACTAGACTATAGACTAGACTATAAACTAGACTATAGACTAGACTATAGACTAGACTATAGACTAGACTATAGACTAGACTATAGACTAGACTATAGACTAGACTATAGACTAGACTATAGACTAGACTATAGACTAGACTATAGACTAGACTATAGACTAGACTATAGACTAGACTATAGACTAGGCAATAGACTAGACTATAGACTAGACTATAGACTAGACTATAGACTAGACTATAGACTAGACTATAGACTAGACTATAGACTAGACTATAGACTAGACTATAGACTAGACTATAGACTAGACTATAGACTAGACTGTAGACTAGACTGTAGACTAGACTATAGACTAGACTATAGACTACACTATAGACTAGACTATAGACTAGACTATAGACTAGACTATAGACTAGAATATAGACTATACTATAGACTAGACTATAGACTAGACTGTAGACTAGACTATAGACTAGACTATAGACTTGACTATAGACTAGACTGTAGACTAGACTATGACTAGACTATAGACTAGACTATAGACTAGACTATAGACTAGACTATAGACTAGACTATAGACTAGACTATAGACTAGACTATAGACTAGACTATAGACTAGACTATAGACTAGACTATAGACTAGACTATAGACTAGACTATAGACTAGACTAGACTATAGACTATACTATAGACTATAGACTAGACTATAGACTAGACTATAGACTAGACTATAGACTAGACTATAGACTAGACTAGACTAGACTATAGACTAGACTATAGACTAGACTATAGACTAGACTATAGACTAGACTATAGACTAGACTATAGACTAGACTATAGACTAGACTATAGACTAGACTATAGACTAGACTATAGACTAGACTATAGACTAATATGACTAGACTATAGACTAGACTATAGACTAGACTATAGACTAGACTATAGACTAGACTATAGACTAGACTATAGACTAGACTATAGACTAGACTATAGACTAGACTATAGACTAGACTATAGACTAGACTATAGACTAGACTATAGACTAGACTATAGACTAGACTATAGACTAGACTATAGACTAGACTATAGACTAGACTATAGACTAGACTATAGACTAGACTATAGACTAGACTATAGACTAGACTATAGACTAGACTATAGACTAAGACTATAGACTAGACTATAGACTAGACTATAGACTAGACTATAGACTAGACTATAGACTAGACTATAGACTAGACTATAGACTAGAGTGTAGACTAGACTATAGACTAGACTATAGAATAGACTATAGACTAGACTATAGACTAGACTATAGAATAGACCATAGACTAGACTATAGACTAGACTATAGACTAGACTATAAACTAGACTATAGACTAGACTATAGACTAGACTATAGACTAGACTATAGACTAGACTATAGACTAGACTATAGACTAGACTATAGACTAGACTAGACTATAGACTAGACTAGACTATAGACTAGACTATAGACTAGACTATAGACTAGACTATAGACTAGACTATAGACTAGACTATAGACTAGACTATAGACTAGACTATAGACTAGACTGTAGACTAGACTGTAGACTAGACTATAGACTAGACTGTAGACTACACTATAGACTAGACTATAGAATATAGACTAGAATATAGAATATAGACTAGACTATGAACTAGACCATAGACTAGACTATAGACTAGATATACATATACTAGACTGTAGACTAGACTCTTGGCTAAAATTTCTTTCTCTCTTTTTCTCTAATTGAATTTACTGCTCTTTTTATTCTCAACTCATTAATTAAAATAAGAAGTAATAATTTTTCTCTTTCTTATATTTAAATAATTGTTTATCTTCTTAATGTCATCGTCACCATTATTGTCATTTAACATGTCAGCCTGCCTACTGCAACTAGAAATATTGTGCCTGTCACTATTAGTAGCAGTGTATTATGGTCCTTCTTAAAATGTTTTATATTATTTATATTGTTGCTCTCACTTTTCGCTTTTCTTTTAACGTCGTACAACATTTTTATTCACTTGTTTAATTCATTTTCACTGGTTGTGTCTTTTTTTTACGTATTCATATGTATATTCATTTTTTCAGTTCAGTTCTGTTTTCTTTTATTATTTTTTGTGCACTGTGCACTTTTAACTGTCATTTACAGTGGGTCTGTGGGCGAGAGTGTAAGAGTGTATTTGTCTGTTTAATTGTGTTGATTGTTGAAAAGTGGCACATGAATTTTATATGTTCAGTTACAGATACTATATGCATATAAGCATTTACAACTTTTTGGGATGTGTACAGGGTGGAGCGAAAAAAGCGGTTAAAAGTTGGAATTATTTTTTATTATTACGACATTTTGAATGTGGTTGTTTACGATCTTTTTAAACGATCTTTGAGTTAATTCCCTCAATCTTTAGTTAGGCTTATCTGTTAACCTTTCACCTCTTAACAGTTAAACCCTTTATTTAGTTGTATTTTGATTCAAGCACGCTTTTGCATACTAGTGTACATACATATGCGGCTTATTCAGTCATTCCATTTATGATGATCTCGAAGGATGACGATGATAGCAGCAACAATGATATGTGGAGTGTAATGTTTATTTTATTTCATTTCCACTGACCCATGAGTGGTCATTGATGGTGTGAAAAAAATGGAATCTGTAGGAAAATAAACACAGAGGAATCGTTTTACAGGGCATAATGTTGACTTGTTAAAAAGAGCAACATTCTGAAATGAAGACGAGTTTCAGGTGTTTTTCTCTCGAGTACATTTAATAGTTTTTGCATAAATATTAAAACATTGCTGGAAAAAGAAATCAATGAAAATGTTGTTGTTATATATTTTCGTAAGAAATGGAAAGTGTTAAATGAAGAGTTCATAAATGAAAGAAATCATTAATTTAATTAATATTGCATGTTAAAGTGCTTAAGAAAAAATAACATTGGTGTTTTTATATAAGTTT